AATCTACAAGCATGAAAGGGGAGGGGGAGGGGGAGAAAGGCGGGTTTAGGTATGACCTTGTCGTACGAGCGTGACCAGACAAACAATATCATCAACCTTGCCACCAGTATAATTGCTTCCATGGGCTTGTGCGCCTTTTGCCCAGGGTGACAGTCGCTTTGGATCCAAAGACAGGCGCTTGGCAGTGTCGGTGAGGGACTTTGATAAACGGCGAACAAGAGCCAGCATCGATTCGTCGTCGTCATTTTCCGAGAGTTGCTCCAGTTCCTTGTTGACCATGGCCAGGGTTTCGTGGGAGTACACATTGTCAAAATAGCCATCCGTTGCCAACACAATGACATCACCGTCCTTGAGGAAGAACGATTTCTTGTCGCCATCTTTGGGCATATCTGTCACGTACAATTCTCGATCTGGATAATTCTGAGGCACCACGGTCAGCTGATACCTAATAAAAACCGGAAGGACAAGAAACATGCGTGTGAGTCCACCCAAATAAATAAAAATCCCTCATCCTTCTTACGGGCAGTTGAAGTAATGCTGTTGGCTAGGGCTTTCATAGACCACTTTTTGATCCCGGATCAATAAGAATGCACTGTCGCCAAGGTTGCAGGTCGTCATCTTGCCCGTGGCTTTGCACATGTTGAGAATGCATGCAGTGCTGCTGCCAGCTTGTACTTTACCGTCTTGTACCAGCCGATCAAAGGCCTTGTCCAAGATATGATGGGCATCGAGCTGTTTCTCGGATTTGGCGGCACTGGCGGCATTGTTCATCAACGTCCAAGAGAACAAAGCTAAAGAGAGAAGAGACAAAAAATATGAATGCCTTGTTCTATAGAGGATCCAGGACTTTACCAGGGTCAACGCCCACTTCGGACCAGCCACCAACACCGTCAGCAACACCCAGAGCCAGCCCGCCAGGCGTGCAGGTCTGGAAAAAAGCATCCTCACCAGCATCAACATTGCCCACCTGCTTCTGTTTCCAGTAAGGGATCTTCATTTTTGCACGATGTTGTTTAGCCGATCGATTCTTGGGATGCCATGCGGCATAGACAAAGAAATCATAGCTGTAAGTAGGGTCGCTGTTTGGTACGGGCTCGGAGAGGTCGTCATCGGGTATCGTTGCATTCGTTGCAGGTTGTTGTTTGGCCAGCACAGGCGATGCATGGAGCGTTGAATACATATGCTGTCTAGTGCCATTGATAGGCTTGGAGGACAGCATTTTGCTGGAATTGCTTGTTGTGGTGGGAGACATTGTTGGACTGTTATGCAGTAACATTCGCTGCTGTGATTGTAACGAGGGGCGCAAACATTTCAGCGACGGCACCACAGCTCCCTTGACAGGAGATAGGGGCATGGCCGCCGTTCCAAGTTTCTGTAAGTAATGCCTAGCCATGAATCAAAACGATGACAAAAACGACTGGGGATCAAGGAAAAAAAAATAAAAATAAAAATAACAGAAAGAAAAAAAAAAACCGGCCTCCCCCGCCATTTATTTTTTTTCGCACATGCTTTTCATTCCGATCTGCTCCCTGTTTTGGTCACAAGGCCCCGCTTTTATTACATCTCTTTGACAGCTCGTTCAACGTCATGATCGTCAATCCCTGTTTCCGAGTCATCCAAACGCCGGAGCCATTCTATCCTTGTCCAATCCAGGTCTTCCCAGGAGAAACCATCCAGGTTTTGTTCCTTGAGTCGCTGTGCCTGGGAGTCGTCGGACGGTGCCTCCATCCAGGCCACAAAGGCATCCAATTGGCCACCTGCCTGCTCAATGGTATCCTTGAATTGCTCCATCTTGGTCTTTTCATTCTGGAATCGATTCCTGATGAGAGGGATGTCGAGGCGCCAGGGAAAGGTGGTCATCACTCGGAGCGACCGGGTCATACACAAATGTGCCAAGTGGAGCATCATCTCGCCTTTTTCCCGTTCGTGCCAGTATGCCTCGGCCATCAAGCGCCAAGCCTGGTAGTCCCGCTTCCGGTGCTGACAATACAACACCAGGTTGGCAATGCCATCTACCGTTCGGCCGCATTTCGGATAATATCTGCCTCGAAGCAACAAGCTTCCCACTTCAAAGGTTGTCTATCCATAAACCTAGGGTTAGCGAATGAGTAAAGAAAACCAAAGGCTCTTGAAACTTACCTGCTTTGCATCCAAGAGCTTTTCAACAAGATCCCATTGCCCTAGTTTCGCACCACAGAGCACGCCAATTTCGTTTATTTCCCTCGTTCCTAAAATCGTGCAGCGGTCGTCGTTTTCAATCATATCCAGGTATATCAGGGTCTTCTCCAAAGCCTCTTTGTATCGTCTATGTAGGTAGTCGTGTTCAATCGCACTCTTGACATAGCCTGGACCGAGTTTTTCCGTCATGCGTTCTCTAATATCACCAATGTCGTGGAACCACTAGAAAAAGGGACACAGTAAAAAAAAACGGCATGAAATAAAAACTACATGCAATAGCACTTACCCCATCTTCATCGATCTTTGCTTGGTAGTTCTTGATCAGCGGAATGGCCTTTCTCTCAACTGTTTCACTAAAGACATCATCGTCAAAGTTGAATTCGTCCATCGAAGTAAAAAAAAAAAAAAAAAAGTGGAGAAAGAAAGGCGGGATCGGGCCTCTGGGTTTTATTTTCTCTTAAAAAAGCCACCTGCGGTCGCCATTCATGCATCGAGTTCAGTGTGCTGCCCTTCACTTCAGCGTCGTCTGGTCAGGAAGAAAAAAAGGCGGTGACGTTGACCATTTGGACTTGACTGTTCAAAAATGAATTTCTGTCAGCCTTCCAGGTGAGAATTATTCCCCAAAAGGCATTGCATCGTTATGATACTAAATGCCCATGCCCGTGTCTATTGCATGGCAACAGCTACCAGCACCCTCAACCACCTCCATATCTCTGCATGTAATGAACAGCGCCAGCAGACAATGGTTAAAAAAAAAGAGGGCTTATCTGAGTTTGAATTGGTTTTTGGCTGGCGGTTCCTTTTTTTTCTTCTTTTTTTGGCTGAAGAAAATGCCAACCAAAAACTAAATCCGTACCAAATTGGCAGGGCGGCCACCACCAATTGACCTGAATTTTTCAAAATCAACTCCACTTGTTATAGCTAGCTCCTGTGAAAAAAATCACGCTAATCTAGCAGCCCAAACATGATTTATAGCATCGCCTTTTTTTAAAAAAATCAAAAGGGTTGGCCTCTGAAATTGTCCAGATCTCAGGAAAAAAAAAAAAAAAATCAGGGCAAAAAACATCAAAAATCGTTTGAGTACGAGTACGAAATGATGAAAAATAGCTGCGACGAAAGTGGCAGGCTTCTTAGACGTTGTGACAAGGAGCTTGACATAGGCAAAAGGACAACCAAGCACACCGCTGCCATGACGCAGGGCAGACTTTTTTTTTTTTTTTTTTTTTAGCTTACATTTTTGTGCTGGGAAGTTTGCCCTGATCGAAGAGCTCTCATCTTCCATACGTATCACGATTTGGATGTGACGAATCGTAAACAGGAAGACTTTTAAAAAAAAAAGAGGGGAAAAGGCAGGGTGTCGCTCTTCAACGGCCAGTGTGCCATCGTTTTTTCCATCGATCTTTTTGAAAACGGTACAGAACTAACTGGTCTGAAGTTCTACACTCTTCCACCCAAAGCACAGAGCATTGTCTCCATAGCAAGAAAGAAAAAAGAAAGAAAGAAAAAAAAAGGCTGGAATGAGCCAAGGAGAATGCGGTTGCCAAATCGGGCATAAAGTCTCACGAAGCGCATCGCTCAAAAAAAAAAATCCGCACGCTTTTTTTTATTCATAATAGGGTTCCTCTACTATCACCAGTCATCCTCCATGATGGCTTGTAGCACAACACAAATGACCTGCCGTTCAGGGGATAGATGGTCAGTTGGCTGAGAAAGTTGGCTGAGAAGCAGGGTCGCTCGCTGCAGGGCTTTTCTTTGCAGCTTTTTTGGCAGGTGGTGAAGGATTGGCTGCAGGACATTGACCAGATAAGCAACGCTGATGAGTGCCGCCATTCGTAGCCAGGCACTTTCGTGATCTACAGAAGCCTCCATCAATAAAAAATCAGTCACTTGCTGGCAAAACATGGTCTTGTAGTGGTGATCACGCCATGGGTAGGTCACATAATTCATCATCCAAAGTGAGGTCACGTTGGTTTTGATGATACCCTTGGAAACAAGACCCTCGGCCAGGCGTGTGCGAGCGTGTTTCAGATGATACTTGATCAGTGTCCACAGCCAGACGTCCCCGCACAGCAGGTCGATCCATGCTGGCAGCGTCCGTGGCTTGGTCATGTGATCTATGCGCTCCAGTGTCTCGTCCAGCACAGGCTCGCCGATTTTGGTCGAATCTCGTACAAACACGGGCCAGTTTTCGAGTTTTTTGCTGGTAGATTTTTTTAGCACGATCCGTCCACTCAAAGCCAGATCGATTAACAAGCATGCACGCAGTGCGTAACTGGTCGTATCGTTCCAGAAGGAGAGGTGTTCCTTGAAAGAAAAGGTGTTGGCATCGCCCATTTTTTTTTTCTGTTGTCTCTACCTGGTCAAAAAGGCTCAGAAGGACAAGCTGCTCTGCCAGTGTCAGCACTGGCTTCGGTGGGAGAGCGTCTTCAACCTCGCATACATTGGCCACTCTCTGCTGTGGGGTGATTCTTCTTTTGGCTTGTCTCAACAGCATAGTTTATAGGTGGGGTATCTTTGTGGCAAAAAAAAAAAAAGAGACGCAAGAAAAAAAAGAAGCCTGCGCGTTGACAACAGCAAAAATAAAAAAGCCCCTCACCTCCTTGGAATGCTGGTGCCTGAAAAAAAAAAGAATTGTAGGCAGGAATGGCTGGACAGCACCATCGTTGACAACAAAAGTAGTCTCCTTGAAGGTGCCTGAGCTTCCAAATTTGGAAAATCAAACCATACTACCATTGGCGGACAAATTCCGGATAAACGGCCCCGAATGACCGAAAATTTAGTGCGAAAATTCTTCAAACACCGATAGGTTTAGCAGTCATGTGGTCTCTTTAGCTCAGTTGGCAGAGCGTCAGTCTCATAATCTGAAAGTCGAGGGTTCGAGCCCCTCAAGAGGCACGTTTTTTTGCTTCTCCCCGTTCCAGGGTTGAGGCTTTGCTTTTTTTTTTTTTTTGAAATGTTTGCCCAGCTACTCTTTTTTTTTTATTTTTTCGACCTGGAGGTTTATTGGGATGCTTGGTTTTGGGAATTGCGCGTTCAAAAACGTGAGATCCCAAAGCAAGCATTCAAGATGACACCTTTTCTTGATCATGTAACGAGTCTGGTCATAATCGGAGAATTAACCTTCTTTTTCATTCAGGACATCATGAATGGCTCGAGCTTACTGGTAGGGAAAAAAATATGAGTCTTGTGCATATTTTCTGGGTTCTCCACGCATTCTCTGACGGCATTGCTTCATCCAGTCTCTTGCTGTCTTTTCAAAGGAGGTTTCATGGCTATGTTGAGGCTGGTGATGTGCAGAGGGTTACAAGGTCTCCAAACATGAAGAGGTGCAGGGCACGCTGAGGAATTTACTGCTTGGTCCAAAGATGGCAAGTGGGGCCAAAAACGGACCTCTTTGAAAGCAACCGGGCCGGACACCATATAAAATTAAAAACCAGCGCAGCCAGTCATAAAGACAGACGCGAACATGCCACTAAGTGCACTAAAGCGGTCCGCTCTCAGTAATAAATTGAGCCTGGTCGTTTGGCTACTCCTTTCTGCAACTGGAGCATTCTATAGCGTACACCACTCCTTGTGCCTGCGTCCAAGTCGTCCAGCCGGTCCTGTCGTCTTACATTCTAAAGCAAACCGATGGTGCTTTTAGTCAGTGCTGAGTAGAAGCCATGATTGGTAACTGAGTTTTTTTTTGTCTGTGGAAGACCAGCGTTTCGCTTTTTTCTTTTTTTTTTTTCTTTTTGCTTCTTTTCTTTTGCAAATCACATGGTATCGCGGCTCTGGACTCTTAGTGTTTGCTTCAGTCTTTTCGCAAAAGCTCTGGCCTTCATTTCTTTGAATGAATCGCAAGTGAAGACAAAGACAGCAAACAACCATTGGCTAATTCTCTACACAGCTACAAACGACCTCGGTAAGTTTATACACCTTTTCTTTTTTTTTCGGCTCAGTTTCATCCAACTAACTTTCTTCGATAGCTGATCAATGGCAATCGTTTAGTGACAACTACAGTGACTGGCAATCGTTTGGCGTTTATTTTGGCCAGGTGGACTGCAACAAGGAAGCCTGCCCAGATTTTGACCAGGCTCAGTTCCGCCTGTTTAGCGAAGGCGCTTTGGTAAACACCGTCGATGCGACCAAAAACTCCTGGCAGCCTGTTCTTGAGCAGCATATCCTGTCTAGCCCCATTTCTCGCTCTATCCCCATCAATGACCTGGACACTCTGACCCGTATTAAGGAATCTACCAGTTCTTGGTTTATTAAGTTTTATGCGCCCTGGTGTGGTCACTGCAAGAACCTGGCCCCAGTCTGGGAAAATCTGGCGATGGAGCAAGCTTCGTCTCCTATCAACCTCGGTGAAGTCAACTGTGAAACGCAACGAGGTAGGAAACACCAGCTTTTTCATTTTCTTCAGGGAACTTAAGCCTTCCGTTTTATCCTCCAGACATCTGTGCAGCTGAAAATGTGGGCGGGCTGCCAACGTTGGCATTGTAAGTCGGCAGTGACCTCCGGAGGAGCAGGTGGATAGGAGCGAACCCATGTCCTTTTTTTTTTTTTTGTCCTAGCTACAACCGTGGTCATCGTTTCGTATACAATGGCAAGCGTGAATTGGACAGCTTTAAAACGTACGTGAAGAAAATGACTGGCCCGGCGTTTGAAGTGGTGAGCTACGATGCTTTGGCCAAGATCCAAGCTGAACCCGTGTCCCTTGTATATATCCATTCTCCCAAAGATACCAATCTGGTAAGTGCAAAGAGAGACGAGACTACGTTATAGGCAAGGGCAAGCGCATGGCCAGAAGCTCACTCCCCCCATTTTTTTTTTTTTGCAGGAGGCCATTGAACAAGTTGCTGTCCAGGGCATGGATAAACTGCCTGTGTATGTGACAGCTGACAAGAAGATTGACAAGGAACTCAAGGGTGCTGGTAAGCTCCCTCGCTTGGTGATGATCAAACACGGAGGCCAAGTGCAATCGGTGAATGACGGTCCCTCTTCCACCTGGGCCGACTGGGTCGACAGCCATAAATACCCCTTGGTGACCACCCTTGCTTCCCATAATGCCAACGAAGTCCTCAAGGGCAAACGTCTTGTGGCGCTTTACTTGACGGCCAATGAGCAAACCGATGCTGGGTTCTTGGCTGTTTCATTGGATTGGGAGTCTTCTGGTTACGATTTGCCTGTGACTTTTGCCCAGTTGAACGCCAAACAGTGGTCGACCTTTGTCAAGCGTGTGTATAACGTTGATGCCAAGGACCTCCCTGGCCTTGTCGTCCTTGATCCCAAGGTAAAAAAAAAAAAGAAAAGTCCCAGGCAAGCAGCTAGCTGACGCTTTTATTATTATTTCAGAAAAAATTGTATTTCAAGGAAGGTTTGAACGGGGAAGGATTTACCACGACTCAGCCCGAAGCCTTGTTTGCGGCTCTCCAACATACGGATGAGCTTCACGGCCAAACCACTGATGTGCCTCGAGGTGTATCGATCGTGCAAAAGATCTTGGTGTTCGTTGGCGACCATGGCCTGAAAATCACGCTGGTGATGCTTGGTCTCAGTGCTATTGTATTTTACATCAACCACACCCGTCAGCCTCAAGGAACCAATATGCCTATTCAGCCCACCGAGGACGATGATCACGAGAAGAAGGACTAGGCTGGCTCCCCACTCTTTCTTTTTTTCCAGCTGAGTTTTATCTTCACGGTTGTCATACGTGTTGAGCGGTGCTTTTTTTTTTTTTCAAACACATTGGAAAAAGGGAAGGTTCGTTTGTTTTTTATTTACTGGATGCATTCTTTTTTTAAACCTAAACACAAAAATAAAAAGGAATCAATAAACTAAAAAAAAAATACAAGTGGGTAATGCAAATAAGAAAAAAAAAAAAAGACGGAAACGACCGGGGAGCGAATCAGTCCTCATCATTTCGGGAGGCATTGATGGCTAGAACATAATCAGAGGGAGATGCGTGATGTTGAGTCGAGGAAGCAGGAGGGGTGGAGGAGGACCGATGGCTGTACGCTACATCTTGGTCATCCTTTTGGCGTGATGGTAAAGGAGAATGTGCTTGCTGATGGCGTCCGACGTTGGTATCGATGGGTGGTAATAGAGGTTTAGCTGAACGAGGAGATGGAGAGTGATGTTGGCGGTGGTGCTGGTGATGGGATCGGTGGTGCTGGTGGTGACTGGACGGGGTGCCGTTGCCGTTGGTGCCTGTAGAGGAGGGAGGGAGATCGATGACAGAGACAGGCTTGGGTAATTGACGCTGACGCTTGTCAGCATGAAGGGAATCAGTCAAGCGAGGAGGGTGGTGATGTGATGGCTGCGAATGGGTGTGGTAGTGGTTAGCAGAAGAAGAATGGGATGGGTGGGTTGGTAGGGAGCTGGACGGGGTGGTACCGATGGGAGATCCACGTTGGAGTTTTGCTTTCAATGCTTCCATGACCTTGTTGTGAGAGAGGGGTTTTTCGTCGGGTTGTTCATAGGCCCGCTTGATGGCTCTGCCTCCGCTGGACCCACTGCTGTTGTTGCTTCCGGCTTCTTCTTGGTGAACGACGTTGCCATTGACGGCAGGAGACACGGGTGTGGTTGGCTGCATGGTGTTGGGAATTTGAAGTCGATGTAATTGGTGGCCTGCAATACATCATAAAAACCAGTGTCAGCTTACCCCTGTTTTTTTTTTTTTTTTTTTTTTTACCTTTACGAGGTTCAGAAGGAGGACAAAGGGGATGAGCGGTTTGGGGATGGCTAGGCGAGGCAGGATGATCCTGTTGAGAAGAGTAGCCATCAGGATATTGACCAGTGATACGGGCGATCATTTGCTGTTGCACTGGGGTCAGGTTTTGCATGTATGTTGAAGGGGTGGCAGACGGTGGAGGGCCGGTGGCGGGAGCAGTGGCATAACCATAGCCTCGACAATCTGGATAGCGAGGCAAGACGCCTAGCCGATACTGTTCATGCAAATAGTCCATTTCCATACGTTTCAAACGAATGCGGGCCTCTTCGACTTTCAATAAATCACTGGCTGCTTGGCGCTAAATATAAACAACAAACAAACAAAAGTTAGTACAAAATGGACCCTGAGACTCCAAACACGGCTCGTTCACAGTCTTCATTTTTTTCGTTTCTGATGACGGTGCCATCTTCAGTCCCCATTGCATTCTTCTCTTCTGTTCGCCCAACCAGGACGCACAGAGCAGAGGGATGACGTTTACCTTGTCTTCTTCAGCTTTTGCATTGAGGATATGTCTTAGGGTGTCGGTATCATCATTATACTTGTCCATCATTTCTCGCCAAGGAATAGATGTTAGTGAGTGAGAATCTTGATTTCCTCCAGGTGACAATGGAACCGGCCACTGAAAAACTTTTCGATCTTTTGGGGAATATGAATTGGGATGTGGTGAAGGGTTGGTCATTCTTCAAGTCAATAAAAAACGACACAATAAAAAGTGGTAATTAGAAGTAAAAAGAGGAAAAAAAAATAAAATATAAAAGCAAGGTTGTGCAAGTCCCTTTTTGCCCATTGCGAGGCGATCGTTCTTGCCAAAACAGGAAGCCCTTTTTTTTTTTTTTCCGTGTCTTTCTCCTACGAGACACTTTGATGAAATGGTGACGAAGCAGATGGATTTTCGGAGCCCACTCTTTAACCAAAGTTCCTTGTTTTCTAGAAGTCCAATGCTTGAACAATGGAAAAAAGCTCTTCTATTAATTGGTCTGAAACATCAATGACGCAAAACGGCAGGGTTTGATGGCCAGAAATTGAAACCCAACCATCCAAAACCAGCCGCCAGCCTTTTTTTTTTTTTTTTTGCCTTTCTCAGAATTTTCTTACAGAGGAGTGGGTTAAATGGATATTGAGACGATGGTATTGTTGACAGAGTAAAAAATAAGCATCGTTTGTTGGCCGGCTGTTTCAT